GATGATTGGGGGTAAGATAGCTAGGAATCCTCCTAGCCAGGAGCAGAACACGAGTTGTATGCAGACTCTGTTGCTCATGATGGTCAGGTAATGCAGGGGTTTGCAGATGGCAACATAGCGGTCATAGGACATAGAAGCCAAGAGGTAAAACTCTGTTGCCCCAAGGAATATAGCAAAAAAATATTGAATCAAGCATCCAGCAAAACTGATGACTTTATTTCCTGTTGTCACACTGGTCAGAAATCTGGGAATAAAAATGGATGTGAAGGAAATTTCTAAGAAGGAGAAATTCCGGAGGAAGAAATACATGGGGGTCTGGAGGTGAGGGTGTACCCGAGTGAGAATGATGATAGTCAGATTTCCTAGGACACTTAACATGTAGGTGAGGAGCAGAAAGATGAATATCACAATTTGGACCTCAGGTTGATTTGTGAAGCCCAACAGAATGAACTCAGTAAACGTCCTATTTTTCATTGTTGACCCTTTGGAGATCTGAAGGAAAAAGGTGACTGATGAAAAATGAGCTTTCTCAGGGTAGGAGAGACAAAGCTGATAGTAATGAATCATGTCATATATTACTCTCTCTTCAGTTGTCCCAAACCAGTATCACATTGCAGTGGCCTTGGCTCCATGGAAGCCCAATATCTTCTATGTGAATGACCTTAATCCTAAAGTCTTTTTAATTCCCCAGTTGATATGTTTTTGGACACTTAACAGAATCTGTTACAGAATAATTACTCATTTTTCCCCCCAGGAGAATATATTTTGAACCTATCCTTTAATCCCCAAGTGTTTATAAAATCTCCATATTTAAGTCACTTTCCTCTGACTCCATTAGTTTTTCATACTTCTGTACTCTTGGTGGAAGTTTTTCTATCAGATTCTGTTTTTTTTTGTGATTCCCTTTCTCCTCCTTGTGCTCTTTCCCCTTCCCTGTACCGTTTGACACTTCTCTGGCTATCTTCCATAGATCCTCATCTCCATAATTGTCCAAATCTCTGACTTCCTTGTTTCAGCAACCAATAGGAAATTCCCCACATGGATATGGTTGAAGGTTTTGATGTATAAGTGATTTATTCTGCACCCCTATTTCTTTTGAAGCATACATTTGTAATAGACCTTTAAGACTTATGATCTTTGGTTCAGTATATCTCATATTGTGAGCATATTTTGGTACATGAACAAGGCTATGGTGTCAATAAATCATATTTATTAGCATTTCTTATATGTTTCTCTGCCATGTATATTTGGAATATATCTCTGAGAATAGAGATCTTGAGATACCCACAGGAAGCATCTCAGTGTGGATTTTGCTCAAAGTCTTAAAGATTTCTTAGTGGCAAACTACGGATGACAGTTTCTCTCTTCTTGGCATAGAAACAAGGAAGGGGGACTTTTTTGTTTCTCACAATGAGTCCTTTGTAGATAAATTGGTAACCCCCAAGGAAGGAAACTTTGGCAGTGGTATCCTGCATACATTTTTAGATTTTTCTGAGTCAGAAGCAAAGACAATGTAAAAGGCCCTTCTAATTCACATGCATACGGGTAAGAAAAAAATCATATCCTCACAATCATTCTTATCAATCTCCCCATAATTCCATATGCTGTTGGAGGCACTAGGCACTATTAAACATTGACCTGGATTCCCCTACAGCCCACCCTTCCCTGTTTGTACTAACCTCTGGTCTGTGGCAAGTACTGCATTTTCATCCAGATTTTCGTGACTGATTGACCTCATGATCCACATTTATAGAATAGTAACATCAGTGACTTTAAAAACATACAGTGCTCATACCCTTGACAATCTGAATGACTGTAGTGGGACGTTTATTTTGTTGATCCTAAGAGGTAAGTCAAGGGTGAAATGTGCCCTGTGAGTCTTGAGTAGTATAAATTTTAACATGCTGTCTATTGGCTTCCTGTCAACATTCTCCCCTTCACTCTCTCTTTTTGTTGCAGGAGTCACTGGCCATAGGTGGCTATTTCTTTATTTTAAGAAATTGAATAATAATTGACCTACAATATTCATTATTTTCAGGTGTGCAACATAGTGATTTGATAATTTTTTAATGTATTATGATCACCAAAATAGCCTAGTTACTGTCTGCCACCATGAAAGTTCTTACAACATTATTATCACCTATGCTGTACATTACATCCCTGTGATTTATTATTGGAAGTTTGTCCCACTTAATACCCTTTACCTTTCTTGCCTTCCTCCCCCTATCCTCTCCCCACTCTGGTAATCTACAGTTTCTTTTGTAGATCTATAAGTCTGTTTCTGTTTGTTGTTGTTGTTGGTTTTGTTTCTTAGATTCCACATGTAAGCATTCCACTTTTCTCTTAATGAAAATACCCAAGTCTGTGGGGCTTAACTTAGGAAGCATATTACCTTCCATTCTATTAATGCAAACCAGAATCAAATGATACTTCCTGAGAGATACAGTCCTTCACATGTATAATAAAAGAAAAACAAATAAATGAATAACCCCCTGCTACAGCAATGATAGAATT